AGCTGTGTTAGAGGTAATAACTTTTATTTGCACATCCATGTTTTTTGTTAACTACGTTAAGATTTTATAGCTTCACATTTCACTTTTTACGGTATGAGGAAAAATTCAATTTTGATGTCAAATCAATCTGCAAAAAAGAGGTTGGGAGAATGAAGCGAAAAGAGTTGTGGGACAATAGAAAGTTAAGAATTGGGGCAAAATTACTGAGCTTCAATTCGTTGTATTTTATTTTAATTTATTCTACTCATTTTATTAAAAATTAATAACTAAAGCTACATTTTGAAACTTCACTTTTTATATATTTACAGAATCTTATTTAAATATAAGCGTCCACTGCGCCAACAAAAAGCCCAAGCTCACGTTAAGCTACAAATTCAAATTGAAGCCAATTTCAAAGCTCTAACGTCTTTGAGCAGCAGCAAAATAGCTGCCTGCTATAACACTGCAACCATCGAAAGCACACAGCGCTGCCACACTGCTCAAAGTCAAGCTGGCATTTTGGCGAACAGCTGGCCGCCAAACTTGTATTTATCTAGCGGCTTATCTTTATACACGCGCGCACACACATAGTCAGACCATTTCTTGCCCACCATTGTTGTCGTTTCCAATCAGTTCTACGTTGAGTCTGATTGGGAGTGGTTCGCCATCTTGCGGTCTGCAGTAAAAAGTTTAGTGTTCGTTTTTTATTAACAACCGGCAAGTCAGTTTTTTAAATACTACTCAAAGGTAAGTTCTGGTCGAAAATTCTATTATGTAAAGGTGTTGTCTATGAGATCCCAATCGAAAACTCTCGCGTTGCATTTATCTAGTTAGAACAGAATACGAATATCACATAATGCTGACTTGCAATAAGTGCCAATTAGAGCTGCACAATATATGTGTGCGCATATCGTTGATCTAAAATCACGTTTGTTAATATGTAGTGGAAGTATTTAGCTCTGATTAAATGAATAAATTACGTCTGTTTAAACTACGAATAACCTTTGACTTAAAACTTTGTGGCTTTTGTTGCGCCTTTACTTCGCCTTCCAGTTGAACTTTCCCCACAAATACCAAAATACAAAAACCAAAAAATAAAAAAAAAAACAATCTGTGGGACACATGTTCACATTCATATGCATATGTGTGTATACAAGTGTGTGTGGGTATATATCTAAATGCTCACACACATATGTACATATTCATTGCTTATATGCAATTCACTTTGCTTGTTTATTTTGTTAGCTTTCTAAAGCACAGCCGGTTTGTTGGCATAGAAGAAAATCTGAAAAGAGCGAGAGCAAGATATATTTTATGTATATGTATATGTATAAAGAGAGAGAATAATTTACACGTTGCCACCTGTGCTTAACTCAACTTTCCTCTTCTGCTTCTCTTCTTCTTCCTCTTCTCTAACTAACGTTCAAAGTTTAAACATATACATATTTTCATAGTCACTTTTTGTTCATTAGACAACGATTGTTCGAGTATAATTCTCAAGGGGCTCGCATTGTAACATACGCTTGTTCAGCACGTAGAAAACATATTAACAATGCCAAATCTTATCAGAATACGCTACTCCGACTGATAGTGCACAGTAAAACAAAACCGCAAGAACTAGTTGTAAATAAATAATATATTTTTCTGGCGAAAGCGAAAAAATTGTGGGCGTGCCTATTTCAGTCATGAATATGGCGTGATTTATGTACAGACAAAATCACGCTACTTGGCATGCAAAGGAGCTGCTCAGCTAGCATCGAAACTAATTAGCAACAGAAGCTTATTGGGCTGTATCGCGTATCTGTATTAATTTGCATGCACCACACACGCACACACACACACCCACACACCAGTGTGACAATCTAAATATAGATAGTTTAGCACATTTGCCTTTTATATAAACGCGCCAGATGCGACAAGCTGCACAAATAGTTGTGTAATAATTTAATTGAGACAATTTCATATAAATATCTGATAAGAGAATTTCTAATTGAAAGCAGACACACTGGCGCTCAATTCAAAAACACTCAATGGCGCCATTATACAACACTGTTCAATGTCAGAGTGCCAACTATCGTTATCGATAAAGATCAGCAGCGGCTATCAGTTTTGCGTGTGACCATGAACTTGTCATAAAAAAGTCACTTTAATGCTCGCTAATGGAAAAGTTTTTGGCACGCGTAAAAGGGAAGAAAGCAAAGCAAGCAACAGATAGCCCAGCGACAAGAGTAAGGGAGAGACATAATATGCCAGTGGTTGGCATATCTATGTATGTTGTTGGCCGGCAAATGCGATAACGATTACATGCCTGGGGCGTACTTGTATTTTCGTTTGTGCTCAGAAGTTTTTGTGAAATTTGTTTCGACACATAAAAAAAAATTACTAGTTTAACTTTAGAGAAAATAAAAACACTGGCGCACACACACTAGGAGCTTATCTGACTGCCAGTCTAGTGGGCTATATAACGGTGATAACAGCGATTGCGCAACGCATTTGTAATTGGTGCATTAGAGATTGTAAGCGGCCTAACGGTGCTCGCCGGTCTGCAGTTATCAGTTGAGCGCAGTGACTGGCCGGGAATACGTGTAGTCCATTGGAGGCTCTGTCGCTTATTGTTATAAAAAAAAAAAAAGCAAGAAGATTCATTCATAGAAATTTGTTGCAGTTCGTGAAATGTTTGCATTACGCCGCAGTCTCAATATGGTCTACGGGCCGCAAAAGTTGAAGCAAAACAACTGTTTTAAAGTTAATTTCGGTGTCTCTGCGGCGGTAGGTTTGTGCATACCCTGTATCCAAAGTGAACTGGAGTGTATTGGCTTGGCTACTAAACACATTTCATCTAAACTGTCATTTTTCTTTGCCATGCTTTCACTTTAAATTTTGTGTATACTCTGTTTTTAAAGGGTTGCGGGGTATATTGACTATTAATTCTCTTTTTGCTTAACTAAGCTTTCACTTGATCATCTGTAAATACGCAGTTTTATTCTCTGTTTGAGTATTACGCATTTCCGCTAATCAAATTGGATTCATAAATAAGCTTTCTCTATAGTCAATTTTTCTCTCATCGGATCAAAGTTCACTTTGGCTTGCCATACTCAATTTCATCTTAATCAGTCTAACATTATTATCATCATTTTTATTATTAATACTTTTCTAAATTATAGAGTAAACTGAATATTAAAATTAAGAAAAAAATGCAAGTCGTCTACAATAAGGTGATATCCATCTTGTATTTGTCGTCGGTTTGTGCAGTTGATATCTTTGTTTAAATCACAGCCTTCCTATTTGGTTTGCTTTCCCGCACAGATGTCGCAGAAAATTCGCGCTGGACCCGTCGTCGATGTGCTGGGCGATGAGATGACCCGCATCATCTGGCAGTCGATCAAGGATAAGCTCATCCTGCCCTTCGTCGACGTCGAGCTGCACACATACGATCTGGGCATCGAGGAGCGCGACAAGACCAACGATCAGGTGACCATCGACTGTGCCGAGGCCATCAAGAAGTACAATGTGGGCATCAAGTGTGCCACCATTACGCCCGATGAGAAGCGCGTCGAGGAGTTCAACCTGAAGAAGATGTGGAAATCCCCCAACGGCACCATTCGTAACATTCTTGGCGGCACCGTCTTCCGTGAGGCGATCATTTGCAAGAATGTGCCCCGCCTCGTCTCCGGCTGGCAGAAGCCAATTGTCATTGGTCGCCATGCCCATGCCGATCAATACAAGGCTGTTGATTATCTGGTGCCCGGACCCGGCCAGCTGACGCTCACATTCAAGGGCGCCGACGGCAAGGTCATCAACGAGGTGATCAATGACTTCAAGGGTCCCGGCATTGCATTGGGCATGTACAACACGGACGACTCGATTGTGGACTTTGCTCATGCCTCGTTCAAATATGCGCTGGACCGCAAGATGCCGCTGTACATGAGCACCAAGAACACAATCCTCAAGAAGTACGATGGTCGCTTCAAGGACATCTTCGAGGAGCTGTACAACAAGGAGTACAAGAAGCAGTACGAGGCCGCCGGCATCTGGTATGAGCACAGACTTATCGACGATATGGTCGCCTACTGCATGAAGTCGGAGGGCGGCTTCGTCTGGGCCTGCAAGAACTACGATGGCGATGTCCAGTCGGACTCCGTTGCCCAGGGCTATGGCTCGCTGGGTCTGATGACCTCGGTGCTGCTGTGTCCCGATGGCAAGACTGTGGAGGCGGAGGCTGCTCACGGCACGGTGACGCGTCACTTCCGTTTCTACCAGCAGGGCAAGGAGACCTCCACCAATCCGATTGCCTCGATCTTTGCCTGGACGCGCGGTCTGCTTCATCGCGCCAAGCTGGACAACAATCAGCCCCTCAAGCAGTTCGCCGAGACGCTCGAGCAGGTGTGCATCGACACGATTGAGTCTGGCGCGATGACCAAGGATCTGGCCATCTGCATCAAGGGCAGCCCCAGCGCTGTCGAGCGCAAGGACTACCAGGAGACCTTCGAGTTCATGGACACACTGGCCAAGAATCTGCAGATCGCCCTCAACAAGGGCACCACGCAGCAGGCATCACTCTAAGCTCCCCTACCACCCACCCAGCACTTGCTCCTCAAATGTCCTCATCGTCCATATTTGCCTGTTGTGCCCATGTACATCTGTGTGAATGTGAGCCCTAGGTATATTTGATTTTGCTACCCTTTTTATAATGTATTTTACATGTCGATTCCATGTTCGTTCGTCTCTGCGAGACCCCATCAAAAACAATTATTATTTTTCGTACAATGTGTCCCTGGCCAGGTGGAATTTTTTAAATTTTGTTAAAATACTAAATAAATAAATAAATATTTTTATACCGCCAAGCAACGTTTCATTTCCTTTTGTCTTTGAGGTCTTTAACCTATCACCCGCCCAGCCGCCCAGCCGCCCGGCCGCCCACCCACTCACAAATCGTTTGCTATAGTCGCCTCTTATATATGTTCCACTTGTGCGGCTTCTGCTGCGAGCTCTTGAGCTGCACAGCTTATTGGATTTGCGTCCAGTCTTGAGTCGACGCTCGTGGACAGCACATCAGCATTCGATATACAGACGAGGATATAGTCAGGATGTTGGTGAAAGCCTTGGGCTACGGCTATTGCCTGGCCTATGTGCTGGCTCTCGTTAGCTGGCCGGGCAGTGCCTATCCCACCAATAGCTATCGGGATTTGGACATATGCAATCACTGGAATGGCCGGCGACACTTCCTGGAGCTGGGCGAGCGAGGCGAGCTGCATGCGCGGAACGTGAGCAATACGGCTTACCGGGTGAGTGCTGGCCGCTTGATAGATGTCCTAGATTTCGCTATAGAGGCCCCACTCCGTCTACTCCCCCATATAGAGCTCACCTCTGAGCCTCAAGAGTGACTTGACGGGCGTGGACGTGTGGTACCAGTGCAATCTGGAGCTGGTCACCTGTGCCGAGTGTGTGATCCGGGTTACGTTCACCCATGCCAACTTCTCCAAGAGCTGCAGCAACACGAACACCAATATGTGTCCTTGCGAGCACATACAGTTCTCGGAGCCGCCCTACGACACCACCATCTCCGGGCAGGAGTTCTGCGGCGATGGCAAGGTGTTTCGCAGCAAAACGAGAACGCTGCAGCTCAAGTTCTTCTACAGAGCCACCAATGCCCATGTGTTCTCCCTGCAGTACTTCTCAGAGCGTGAGTGAAACTCTTCCCCCATCTGGGATCGCCCTTTTACAGCTGTCGAACTCGCTTTAGGCAATGTCAAGATTGTCAGCGGCTCACCCAAGCAGTCCATTGTGGGCAATGGCAATGCGAAGTACTTGCCACAGGTCATCTCGACGCCCTATTTCCCCATGGCCTATCCGCGCGACTATGGCATCGAGCACATACTCACCTGCGAGGCGGACAATTGCCAGGTGCGTCTGGACTTTACAGACTTTCAGCTGGGTCTCGCCTCGACGCTGGAGATCTTTGACTCGAATGGCCAAATGCTGGACTCCTACACGGGCGAGCACTTTCGTCCGCCGATTACAGTGAGCAGCGGGAAGTCCTTGCTGCTGCAGTTTCGTGGCAATTCCGCGTCGGGCGTGGGCTTTCGCGCCGAGGTCAGCTTTGTCTCCTCCAAGCAGCTTAAGGACGAGCGTCTGGTGCCCTACACTGGTGAGTGAGTGCAGCTATTCGAGGGTCTACAATTGGTTTATTGATTGCAGACCAGCTGAGGGGCTGTGGGTGGGGTGCTCGGGTGGCTGTTGTATAAATTTCAATGTCAAGGCGCAGACTAAAGTGGAACTAGGCGATGCTTTAACACGGTCTAGTTTGGTAATGCAATCGATATGGCTGGCGTAAGTGGGCTTACGACATGGCGTAAGAGAAATAAGCTCTGTGTGCGTAATATGAATATATTTTCATATGGTTTATTTATAGCTTAGGTAAGACTTTAATTATATATAGATGGTAGAGACTTGGGCTACGGCTGCCAGCAGTCAATCGGAGTAAGAAAGATTAAGGAATCGCTATGTTTAGTCAGTTTCGATGGGGTTGAACCACTGAGAATCAAACCCTACTTGACATAAATGATGCTAGTATCCTAGGTTCCTTCAAGGCTGAGATAACTCCAATGCAGCTCAACTGCTAAAGGCCAATACGACTCGGCAGGAATGGAGCAGCTGGCTCTTAAATCATTTTATATCGAATGTCCTCGGACTTGGGGACCTTAAGAGGATGCTTGGGGCCTAGGTCCTTTAAAACCCACCGGTTAAGTAACCTATCTACCTCAACAGATTGTGGTGGCATGGTAACTGGACCTGGAGGCGCCATAACCATGATGAACATGATTGAAAATGCCACAGATGTGCGGCTGTTCGACTGCATCTGGATCATCAAGCCGGGCAACAACTACATGATGATGAAGACGCACATCTCATTGCGTGTGGATGACTTTTATGGGATGGCGGCGCGATCGGAGCTGACTATTAGACAGGGCACCACATCCGATGCGACGGAAATCGAGAACGTAATGTGGCCGAATAATGGGCTCAGCAAGGAGAATCATATAGCGCCCATATTGACGGGCTACTATATACGACTGCGCGGGGTGTTCGGCATGTCCTCCAAGCTGGCCATCGTCTACAGCGTCTTCAATTATTTGAGTGGGTAGAGTGAGGTATTTCTTATGCTCCAGCCTAATGTCGCTCTCTCCTATATAGATTGCTATATTGGCTCGGAGTTTCTGTGCGGGAATAATCACTGCATTTCCATACGTCTGCACTGCGATGGCTTCGATCACTGCGGCGATGGCAGCGATGAGCCCGACTCCTGTGAGGAGGACTGGGCGCACTTGCATCACGACCGCCGCTGGTACTCACACAAGCCCAACTACTACTTCCCCAAGATCGATCAGTATCCGGACTTGAAGACAGCCACGGGCATATTCATCATTAGCACTCTGGGCATCTTTGGCGTGCTGTCCGGCTGGATGGTGATACTCTATCGCATGGGCGTACGGGCGCGTCATCAGCGCGAGCTGCAAAGCCATTTGCAGACGATCAGTGAGCTGCTGGATCGCCAGGACGAGGACCGGCCGCCGGATGAGCCGCCCAGCTATGAGGCGCCGCCCGACTACGAGGAGGTCATCAAGGTGGGCATGCAGCAGGAGTTGCGGGAGCCGCGACGCCAGCGCCGACGCCGGCCAAGGGAGCGGGGCTGCAGCCGGGCGCCGAGTAACTGCACCATGCAATCGATGGTGCCGCTGCATCGCAGCTGCAGCCTGGAACAGGATCAGCCCAGCACCTCGGCGGCAGCGATGACACGTGCCGTCGCCTCCACCGATACCACACAGGATGCAACACAGTTGGAGCAGCAGCAGCAGCAGCAACAGTTGCTATCACAGCGCATGCTGCTGGCCACAGCCATTTGTGGTAAGGACATTGCTTGAATCCCCATTCGAGACTCCTCCTGCACCTCCACCCACCCCTGCACTTGCTAATTTACCAGTACAGAATCCCGTTTGCAGGCGCTGCAAGCACGTCTGGCACGGCGTCGCCCGCAATCCTCAGTGCGCCGCAGCAATCCGTGGGGCATGCAGCGTGCCCGCCATCGCTATCCGTTGGGCGTGAACTATCCGCAGCCGCTGGAGCGACCACGCCCACCAACAACAGTGCAACGGACGACTGTACCGACGCCTTTCGAGACAATTCACTCAATATATCACTCACTCTAGGGCTGCCCAGCTCGACCACCAACCAGAGCCTGAGCAGCAACTGCACCGAGCATACGTACCTGAAGCGCTCCTGGCTGCTGGTCCAGCAGCCGCCGCATGGCCAGCGCTGTCGGGTGCAGCGACTGCGCCACACCTTCTCCTCACCCGAAGCCTTTGGCGCCCATGAGCCGAATCTGAATCTGCCCTATCCGGACTTCCTCAGCTACGGCACGAACATGCCGCACGAGCGCAGCAGCAGCAACTTTGGCTCCGAGCTCTCCAGAGATCCCTCCAGCTACAGCTTTGGCAAGCGGGCGCGACTCGCGGCAGCCGAGCAGAGCGATTGCCATACCTTGACTCCGCTGCCGACGCCAACGACGACGCCGACGCCAACGCCAACGGCGACGCCAAGTGGTAACTTGGAGTGCTCAGTGCAAACGCTGCAGTCGCAGATGACGCTGTCTCAGCGCGATTTGCTGAGCGACAGCGAGGCGGAGCAGCAGGTGTCCTGCTTTGGAGCCGTCTCGCAACGACCCAAGCGGCGACGCGTGCGCAGTCGCTCTTTCAGCAGCAGCGGGCGACCGGGCAGCGGATCAAAGCGACGTCTACGGCAGCGCAGCTCTTCGGCAGATTTACTGATCTACGCCAACTTGGAGAGGGATAGGGAGGAAGGTAAAGCTATACAGCGATTGTTTTTTATATGAAGTGAGATTGAAACGAAAGAGAGAGAGGGAAGGTGCAGTGAGAGAAGGATGCTAGAGATGTAGGACTATGTAGAGAGAGCTGTATATATAGAGGGAGTAATCGATGGAGAGAGAAACCAATAGAAAGAGGTCTTAGCGATCTATAGAGAGGGAGGAATATATAAGCAAACTCCGATAGACAGATGGATCGATTTCTCTATATATAGTAGCCGATCTACAGAGAGAAACGAATCTATAGAGAGAGAGGTTTTTGAACGAGTGGCTTGCAGAGAGGAGGTATACAAGGTAAGATGGGATATACACATTGTGAGTATAATAATATGTATATGGAGAGAAAACTGCTTGGAGAGAACGAAAACATGGAGTGATGATATATTGAGAGGGAGCCTATAAAAGAACGATAGTATTATGCCCGATGTGATGCTGTTCAGAAGCTGGTCTTAAAACTAAATAAATACTCATATAGAAATACATAAATATACATATAGAGAATATTATGAAACCCAAATAAATAAATTATTTACACAGTTTGTTGCATTACATGTTGATATATATGGCATATATATATATATGTATATTTTGTATATAAGATTCAGCGTATATTTGTTTATTTTGCTGCAGTGCATGCCAAACTGTATGCACGTACAGTTGGACAAGCCTAGGTGCGTTTAGAGTGCAAAAGGAAAAACGATGCAATTTCTCTATATAGAAACCAAGGAATGCGCAAAAAGTACAAACATATGTATGTATATGTATGTGTGTGTGTATGACTACAACTGGTATATATAGTATATATATAGTATGTATATAGACGAATACGATAGGCGTAAGACTGCCTGCTAGCCAGAACTGTCTACATTTTTAGAGATATACGTATATGCGTCATATATCTATGGTTGCGATTGCAGCTGCTGCTTGAGATTCTCGGCGAGCAGCGATTTGCTCGTCTCCAAGGGGACAACAATGTTGCGCAAACTGTCGATGCTGTTGCGCAATTTGGTGGCCTGAAATTTAGCGGGCAATTTCGGTGAGCCGCCAACCGAGGCAAAGGCAAACGCTTTGTACTCCTATAAAAACAGAGAAGGATATCAATTATATATACATATATTATATATTAATGTGCACAGACTTTTATTTCAGTGGCAAAAACAAAGAAAATCCATTGTCAATTAAATCAACACAGCAAATAAGGTCATTATGTAGGTTATATATAAAAAGTCAACTAAATATATAAGCATATATAATAAATTCTTCAAGTATGTATGTAGATATCTCTCTATATATATGTATATAAATAATGCATGATAATGATTAACAAATTGGAGTATGGTCAATGGCAACGCAGGTGCTCACAAAACTTTCAGTATTCGAAACAAAATTTTTAAAGCCATTCACAGGGCTCAAACAAAGAATTAATACTCCAAAGAACGTAAACTTAAAACTAGCATATAAGAATAGTTAATAATAATAATAATAATAATGCAGTAGGGGAACTTAAAACTGATTGAAGAGGCTTGAACGGGCGACTGTCATGTATTAATTGTGTTGTGCTGTTGTTGTTGTTGTTCTTGGCTGGCATTAGGTTACCTGATTGGCGCTCGGGGAGCTGGCCTCGCTGACCGTGGTCGGCCCCTGGGTCATGTACGATTGGAATGTGGGCCCCGGCTGATCGGAGCGCTGCGGCTGGCCGCTGCGCGTGGTCACCTTCTCCTGCAGCGAATTGAAGGTCTTTGAGAGCCAGGGCTGCCAGCTGTTGCGATTGGTTTGCAGCTCGCTGAGCGTATTGTTTAGCTGATGGTTTAGATCTTGATTCTTGCATTCGGCCTCCACTTGCGCGAGCTTGGTCTGCGCCAGCTCCAGCTCCAATTCGCGTATTCGCTGCGCCGCGGCATTCAGTGGATCTAGCGGACCCAAGGGCGCCTCATTCGCATTGCGTATGGGTGCCGAGTGACGCTTAAGGCTGCCATTGCCTGACTGCTGCTTGGCATTGTCGTTGCCCACGTCGATCAGCTGCAGGCACTGCGAGCACTTGGAAACTGTGTGCTGCAATGGAAGAAATCTGTAGAGTAGTTTCCTCTATATATACTTCACTTTCATATGTGCTCACCATAAACTTGCCCAGCGTCTCGTTCAGTGTATTCATATCCTGCTCCTGCCTTTGTATAATCTGCTTGTACTCCTGAATGATGCCCGTGTGCTTCTTTTCCTTTTCCACTGCCCGCTCGTTGGCTGCAGCCAGCTGCTGCGTGAGCGAGTCGATCTCTGCTTGGAGCTTGCGTCGCTCCTCGCCGAAGCGATTTTCATAGATTTGTGCCTCCTTCTCCAGTCGCTCCCTGTGCTGCTTCTTAAGCAGGAATTCCTCCTCGTACTGCTTTAGTTTTTTGATCTTGCGCTCGCACGCTTGCTTCATGATTTTGCGCGCTTGACTCGAACTGCGGCACTTCTTGGGCAATGTCACCCGGAAATACTTTAAAATGCCCTCGAAATCGAGCTGACGTAAGTCCGACTCACAGATTGACAGCAATGTGACGGCCACCTGGAACAGCACAGGCAAGCCATCCAGCAGGAATACGTCGAGTACATGGAATACAAAACATAACGGAAACCGGGCCGTATACAAAGTTAGGAACCACTGGGAGGCGTACATGTGCGTCTCAATGCCGCAAGCTGTGAAATGTTCATGCAGCTTCGGCAACTGATCCTTAATAAGACGCTCCAGCTGATAGAGCCGCAAATAGAGCACCTCAAAGCCGGCCTTGTAGAGATCACGTAGTCCATAGTCGTACATTAGGGCGACCAGCACGCAGAAGGCATCCTCCTCGGGCATCTACAATAGATGGAAATCACCTCAATAGCTTCTATTCTTTATGCTTTGCCAGTCAGTTACAACACTCATAAGGGACTCCTCTTACTCACATGGATCAGCAAACTGGCTGCTATGAAGCTGAGGCCCTGGCAGTAGCCCACCTCGCTGTCATGGACGGCATATGCCTTGGACACCTTGAAGAGGGCATCCTGACCCGAGCCGCCGGTCTCCTTGAAACACTTGTGCGCCGGAAAGGTGCGATGTATGTCCCGCTGTATGACTGTCTCGCATTTGGTTTCCTAAAATACACAAATATTTACATGAATATTTAACCATATAGACATTAAATAACCTCATATGTTCCATTACTCACTTTGGTGATTAGGATCTTGTACATGTCGTTCATTTCCACCTTGCCCTCCACATTGGCCAGCTTCTGCCAGATTTTTTCGCGCAGCGCCTCGGGCACACCCAGACGCACCAAAGGCGCCAGATTTTTGGGTCGCTTCTCACCATCCCATTCCCGCAATATGGGATCCCATTCATCGAGGGTATCCTGCGAGCAGTCCTTGGACACTTCGCCAGTGCCGCTGAGCAGCGGCTCATCGCCGTCGCTGCTGTAATCTGTGGGACAATCATCCTCAATGGACGCAATGGACGAGCTGCGCACAATGCGCGATAAATTTGTCATGCCCAGCTTGAGGAACAGAGCCGAGGAGCCTTGTTGGCCGGTCTGAAGATCGGTAATCTCCTCCGAGGGATCAATACTGTTCACCTTCCAGTTGAGTTCGTCTGTGCGCTTCAGATGCAAATAGAAGCGCAGCGTCATCGGCCGCTTGGACATAAAGTGATCCCTGATGCGCATCTCGCTGGCCGACTGAATGCTCACCGGCGTCTCAATGACAAAGCGCACCGGCTCCTGTATGCCACGCATAACAATGTCCACGGCGACGGTCAGGTTTGTTTTGGACGTTTCCTGATTGAGTTGCTCGAATGCCTTCTCCTGCGCCTTCCACTCGGCCCGTATGGCATAGGCATTCAGGCAGGCGCTCACCGAGTCGGGCTCGGTGCTCGCACCCGGGACCTGCACATAGCCCATGTTCAGCATGTCAATCAGATGCATATCCTTTTGGACCACCAGCTTGCCGGGTGCGACGAGTACACCGAAACAGCGCTCAATGTACAGCGGCTGCAGGACATTCGACGCCGTCTGCTTGACTGTGATGCACACCTCCTTGTCCGTGTTGGCGCGCAGCTTGAAGCAGCCACGATCACGCGGCACAGCTGCATACGAGTTCTTGGCTACCTTCTCGCGTATTTCCAGCGAAACAATAAATTCATAGCCAGCGGTATTCAGGGGATTTCCACTGATATCCGATGTCACCGAGTTAGCCATATCCACAGCCGAAGTCAAACTGCAGCTCATGCTGGGCGCATACGTTTGGAATGCCTTCTGAAAGCAGGCTGAAAACGGAACAGGAATATGAATACGAAAATACATATATATGAATCATGTCCGCGAGATTAGATACACTCACCGCTCACTTGGTTTACCGCCTCGGGTATATGGCAGCGGAACACATGGCACTGGAATAAAGCTTCTCCATGCAACCATGTGAAAGCGAAGCAACCGTTCTCTGCGGTGTCCACGGGCCCGCGATAATACAATATAATGCTTGATATTTCATAGGTAGCTATAATCGTATTGCTCTCCGCATCGTGTAGACTGCAAATAGTGAGATATTATGGAAGGTGTGACTAATTACGATTATGAGTATCAAGCAAATCGAAATAATTGTGAGAAATATTGCAAGAAGAAATGGAAAACCATAATTGAAAATGCGGGCTTAAAGTACCTAAAATAGACTATACGCCTAACATAGTGTTTACATAGGCTTAATAGAATATGTTAAAGTGAGTAACAGCTTGCCAATGGCAGTAGTTTTTAATATTCTCGGCTTGCCTCTGACATCTGTTTAATATAATTAATTAAAGCGCGTTGCAGCTTGCCATTTACAACAGTATGATTAAAGCATGTCTCAGATAAAAGCGAATAACAGTTTGTCTTTTACATGTTATATTAGCGTAGTACACTATTTTTTCCCATATTTCCTCTTAAGGCGATCCAAGAAATGTTATTCTAATATCAGGCCAAGACATTTCTCTTCTTGATTACTTACACAACCAGTCCATCGGAACAATTGGGTATGCTGACTGTGATCTTGAGGCCCACCGACTTGGAGCCACTGTTCAGTTCGCTCATGATGCGATAAACATCTGTCTCCGACTTTGGGGCATTGATATTGGCAGCGCCCAAGTAGGTGACACCAGCGAATATAGTGCAGCCCTGATCGATTTCTGAAACTATTGAAGAGCAGTTTGTTTAGATCTGGCTGAGTATATCAATAGGCTTCTCGCGCTTACCCTCCTCATCGGTGGTGTCGCCTTTCTCGGGCTTCATGGCATCCTGTTTCTCCTCAATGCAGGCGGGACTCGCATCGATACAATCATAGAACACCGACTGACCCACACGATTGTGCTCCGAATTGGATAAATCCTCTGATTCATCGCAGCCCTTGGGCGAGAATAGATTGCATTTGAAACGCATTTCCGTATCGCCTGCGGTCTCGGTCTGTGCTTTCCGTCCAGCCAATGGCAAAGTCAATGATTTTTGTTGTTGCTCCGTTCGTTGCGGCTGTTGAGGCTGTGGCTGCTGCTGCTGCTGCCGCTGCTGCTGTTGATGACGCGTCTTATCGTTGACAGCTGCGAATGTTAATTGGCAATTATGACAAAAGTGCCTCTATATGGTTGAAATTTAAATGAAAATATCGTATTGATCTTTTATGTGGAATGCGATTCGATAGCTTTTCTGAATTATTTTTGTTTGTTATTTGCTTTTGTTACCATGACAGCCAGTGGAAGTGGAAGCCATTCGTTTAGATAAGATTGCGCACTGGGCTTACTTTTAAGTCCACCCTCCCGCCGCCTATTTAAAAGCCGCTTGCGTCCAAATATGGAACGTTGTGTGTGCGCAGCTGGTGTCTGGCAAACAACTGAGCTTCAGCTGTCTTCTTCGGTTCGTTTTTATTACTCAATTTTCCCTATGCTCAGCAGTCGTTACTCACCTGCTGTATTGGCAGCCAAGCTGTTGCGTTCCAGATGCAGATCACGCAGCGCGTCCGTCATCTCGTGCTTGATGTCGCTTAGATTGCGATTGTGCGCCATGTCCAAAGTGGGTGAGCGATCGCCGCCAGCATCGCCGACACCAGGTGAAACCGGTAGAGCACTCAGTGATTCGGTCACTTGGGCACCCACTGTGGACGCCGCTGGCGGTGGTGCCAATTGCTCCAGCGGTGTAGCCACATTGCTATCGTTCACAATCTCGTATTCACCACTGGTTGTAATCGAAGACTCCGAGGATTTCGTGCTCAAATTATCATCCATTATGTAGGCTCTACTGTGTGTGTGTTGGTGTGTGCGATTTACTTCAAGGTTGTTTTATTTCGTTTCGCTACGAATTTCTTTCCCTTCTGTTTATTCGAGTAAGTTTATGAAATGCGCATTTTCTTGCAGTTAGATAAACGTATTTCTATTTTTGCTCATATTCAATTAGGAATTTTTTAATTTTCAATGCACCTCCGCTCCATTGTTTAGCTTTTGCCTTAAATCGATGACGAATCGTTACTTTTTTTTGTTGGGGTTTCTTTGGGGGGCGTCAATTGCGTTGCATGTGTCTCTGTGTGTGTTTGTGTGTCTGTGTGCGTTCTATTTGCTTGACACAAAAACTACAGTTTTGTATCGTGGGGTGGCGCTTATGTCGTATTTGGGGTCAATAGTTGCCTGCTTTACGTACACTATGTATAGATTTTTGTTTACATATTTTTGTGGTGTTGGTAAACGCTGCACCTTGCGCTAGTGCTGGCATCTGATGCAAAAGTAAACTGTTGTACAACAAGCATACATTCCACACGATTGACCGGATGAATCTTCCTTGATGGTAGTAGACTTAAGTATACAGTTTCTAAACTCATTTTTTATTTAGTATCTTCAGTTTTTCAAAAAATTAAAAATACTATAAAGTGACTATCTATAAAAGCGGCACATTTCATATCCTGTGATTAGCAGGCAGACACATTCCACATCGCCCACAAAAAAATATCTATACACAGCACTGTTATGAAACGCTTGCAGCACTGTTAAATATCGATAGTGGCGATAGTATTACCGCGCTGTCTGACAAAAAAAAACGTGCGCGTGCTGCATTTCGTTGCTATATTTTTTTAATATTTCATAAATTTCTGTACACTGTCAGGCACTATTTTAATTGCAGCGAAATGTGGCCGCGTTTTGGCATTAAAGTCGGTAACAGCACACTGTGCATTGCTTACGTAAAGGCCGATGGCAAGGCTGAGGTAATCGCCAACAAGCAAGGTGATCGCGTCTCGCAAGCGTGTTTGCTATGGAACGGCGATACGGAGACCGAATGTGGCCTGACGGCCAAACAGAAGATGGCCACACGACCCAAGCAAGCGGTGGCGCACAGTTTTCAACTGCTGCAGCCAGAGGAGGAGCTGAACGAAGATAAATTTAACAAATTGGCGCTTAAGGAAGTGCCTTGTGAATACGATAAAGAGGCCTTTGTGTTCCGCATGGAGCACACAGTGCCGGCGGATAGAGATGATCAAGACGATACGATTGTCACGAAAGAGATGAGCGCCTTTGAAGTGACCGTGGAACTGCTGCGAGCGGAACTGGAGCTGGCGAGGCAATACTATACGGACACACAGCACGAGCCAATCGCCGTGCTCTCCATACCCAGCTACTATCCGGCGAAATCGATCAAGATGCTCTCGGATGCTGCCAAATCGGCTGGTTTTCATGTAGCCCAAATCATTGCCGAGCCCACAGCCGCAGTACTTTGCTATAAAATTGGCGAGGAGCAGCAGGAGAAGCAGGAGGAGGCACGTCGGCATGTGCTGACCATTAAATGCGGCGGATTGTACAGCGACTTTGCCTTGTATGCCGTGCAGAATGGCTTTTTCATTGAGCTGGCCACCTTCGGGCCCTTTCCCATTGGCGGCCGTCAGTTCACCGATGCGCTGGTGCAGTTCATCTGCGAGGAGTTCAAGCGCAAGTACAAACTGGATCCGCACGAGTCACGTCGTTCGCTGGCCAAAATTCGAACTGCTGCAGCCAATTGCAAGCATATCTTGACAACGCTGCCTTCCACGCAGCTGTACATAGATTCCCTGATGGATGGCGTTGATTACAATGCGCAAATGTCGCGCGCACGCTTCGAGAGTCTCATCCAGCCGGTGATCAATGGGCTGATACAGCAGCTGAGCGAGTGTGTGGAGCGTGCTCAGCAGGCGCATCCGGAGCTAAAGCGCATCGACGATATTGTGCTGCTGGGCGCAACCATGCAAATACCCAAGCTGCAAGCAGCAGTCGCAGCTCGTTTTCCCGACGCCAAGCTGCACAATAGCCACTCCACGGACGAGGTGGTGGCCATCGGCTGTGCCCGGCAGGCGGTCTTCCTGCTCGATCCGCGGCAGGCGCAGCTGGAAAAGGACGACGATTGTGTTCTCGTCGAGGATGATTTGTACATTTGGCATGGCAACGATGAGACGAATGCCAAGCTGGTTCTGAGCAAGGGCAGCATATTGCCCGCCAAGATCAAAGTGACACTGCCACAGTCGGGCGAGGGGGATGCCATCGATGCCTTGGCCTCGTTCAAGCTGCGCACCGGACAAAGCGAAATATTGGCCCACCTGCCCGACACGACGCCGACCATCGATGACGGACTATTTCAGCTGGAGGTCGAAGTGGATTGGGATGACAAGGATGGTAATGTTGTGCCATTGGTGCGGCTGCGTTGCATGTGAACTCAATCATTTAGTCTATTTATTGTTGGTAGCCTAATGCTTATAATAAAAACAGAGTATATAATAAATCCAAAAGCTTCAATCAATTGGGCCTAGAGCTACATATGTGTCCAAGCGAGAATCTGTCTCTAGAAGTCCATTGACTTCGTCTTGAAGTTCCGTTCCAGCTTACGCAGAAACTCCTCGAAGACCACAACGCCCTTGAACATGCTCGTCTTTTTGTAGTCCTTGATGCGACTCTTGTCCTCGGGCGCATCCATATAGCTCTTCGTCTTGTCATCATAGGCATTGATCTCCTGCAGCAGCTGCGAGATGGTGGGCACCGTTGTCGGATCAAACTTGCCCACGGCGCTGGCACTAAACGGTATGCACACCTTGCCCGTGGCCGGGTGGATGCAGAAGGGCGCCTTCAACAAGTGATTGAAGCCTTTGGTCACATTGATGTCCAGCCGGGGGTAGAGCAGGCACAGCTGCACCTCCTCCACAATGTGCTTCAGCTTGCGACTCCACACATTGGCCGCACTCGTGCGCATCGAATTCGCATAGCGCACAAAGCTCTCCCAGATCAATTTCGAGTGGGCGCCATCCTCGTGGCTCTTCTGCAGATACGCCTCCAAATCACTGCGAGCCCCCTCGTCGCTAACCATTTGCAGCAGTTTGCTGACGCCTTTGGGAGACCCAAACAGATTCTGATCCTCGAGGATGATCTCCTCAAACATGGGCTCCACAATTTTCAAAGCACGCCGCAGGCTATGATGCGTACGATCGCCAATTTGGACACGGGCCACATTGTTCGTATAGCTCAGAATATTTAGATACTCAGCGACCGCTGCTCGAGCACGCGCGTCCAAATGGCGAGCCGTGTGATCGCATACCCAGCAATGTATGCCTCGACGACCCGAGAATATCCACAGCATGTGCTCGAAGCCGAAATCCTCGCGCAATGCAACATCCAAAACTCTCGCCGCCAACATCATAAACTTCCAGCACTTGAGGCACATCTCTGCACCCGAACAACAGTTACGTATATCGTCATAGTCCGTAGCATCAATATCGAAGACCAATTCACGCTGTACGGGCGTCAAGCCACCGGCCACAGTGCGGAAGTTCTTTGGCCTGATGTTCATCACAGGCCCGATATCTATTTTATAGGGATTACGCGTACAGATCTCCTTCTCCAGCTCCGCCTGCGTCTCAAAGCACAAGTAGCGTATGTAGATATCATCCTGCAGCGTGAATGAAATTTCCCGATTCACAAATATATTGTCCTCAGCTGAAAAGTGGATATGTTTTAAATATATTCTGTTAACATTTTAGTAGGGCTTAGATCTTACAATGTCCATAGTTCAGCCAGCGATAGAAGGGCTCGTGTGGAAAGAGGCGTCTATAGTAGACGGGTAGCATATCTGGCAGTATATTTGGGTCGTAGGCGGGCGCCTTGGACTCTGTCGTTGCTTGTGGCTGAGTGTCCTGCTCTGTGTTCAGTTCCGGCATGTCGAGAATGTCTTATGCAAAGGAATTTATGAAATTAAATGCTAAAAAAAAAGAGAATTGAAAATAAGGCAAATCTATAACTGTTCTTATAAGTAAAGGGAAATTATATAAGTTGAAGCTCGTGACAAACCTAATGAGAGGCAAAATAGATGATAATTACAAGAACAACTGATTCTACGAGATATTCTGAAGTATACAACTTAAGAGCTAAATAGTACATTCCTATTTTAACATTCTGAGAATCGCATGGAAAAACGTTATTTATATATAATGCTAAATAAGTAGGTCTAATTAGAATTGAGCTTATATTACACTCATACGCATGTATAAACTCCCTCTATCATAAGCGCATAGAGAGGTGTAATTGTATTAAGTAGAGTCAACATCAGCAGTAAATGAGATAAGCTCTTCAACGGGGTCTACCATTACAGCACTACATGAGTTTATGACGATAAGTAAAGTAAAACGACTTCATAATGTTTTGTTTTTGTCGAAACCTTATTGCTATATTTTTATATATATAATTTTTTTGATGATTTTTGTTTTGTTTTCCGTTTTTTTGTTTCTTTTTTAAAGAGAAATACACGTTTGAGCTTAAAATATTTAGATATTTTAACGACATGCAATTAAAAAATATACGCAGCTAATTAATTGTCAATTGAATGAGTCGAGTCGAAATTGAGGTCGAGTTAACATAAATGGAATAATAATAGAACCGCAAAAACAATATATGTATATACTTATATGGTCAGTGAGTCTGATAAATTTGCTTAGCTTGCTATATAGAAATTCTATATAGATATATATATATATATATAACTATATATACTCGTAATGTAACTACTAATTATTTAAGGTCTAAGTTAGATCATGTTTTCTGTTGTTTTTGTTGCTTAAAGTTAAAATTCATCATCAACACGCTCGCACGCACGCACGCTCACACAGACAGCCACAATTACAAACGAATCAGGACAGCAAGGATAATGCAGCCAGCGATCCATTCTGTTCATCTTCTAGGCGACAGTCAAACGAATGTCCTGCATTTTATGCTGCTGCCAGGAATGCGCTGGCTGCCGCGGCGGTGCTGTGTTGTACAAGGTAACCGATGCGATGTGATTGTTCGGCATCACTTCAAAGATTAGATCCTGATAGCCGTAGCAGAAGGTCGAGCCAAAGGGATTCGCTGTATTCGTGGAGCTGGCACGATGCAACACCACCGGACGCTCGGACGTTGCCAGCGACCCACTAATCTCATCCCATTTGGTGTAGGCAGTTATATTGACATGATCATGCTTGTTGTCGCTCTCGCTCGACTGATGATCGGTCTCCAGCTGAAACTGGAATTCACAGCGATGGTACATATTGAAATTAAAGTGGCCCGGATAATTGGTGTGCAGTATGAACTTCTTGCAGGTCTGTGTCCGAGCATCGAAGAGCACATCGATGCCCAGGGTGAAATAATTGAAGAATATATCGCTGCGTTTGCTCTGCACTTGGCGATTGACGCTCGAACTGTGAATCTTCATTTTGTCCTCACTCTTGAAGAAGATGCGATTGGGCGCACCCAAATTGGTGGCGACATCCTCACAGCTATCGCCGAAAAGCAGCTCACGCGTAAAGCACTGACGGCGTGGCTCTAGTGCCCGACCCGAACCCTCAGTAAATAGTTTCAGCTTCAAGCCCTTTGTGTGGCCATATGAGGTCCGCAGCACGGTGGCCGATTCCAGATACATTTGTCTATGGTAGCAGGACAATGGCAGTGAAGGAGCCCGATTCTCGGCCACATTGCTGCCCGCATACAGTGCCATTTTGGAGACCACAGGCGAGGCGCCATTCAGAAAGACCAGGGAGCCTAATCCATGGCCATAGCCAGAGTGCAGTTTGCTGTCCACGGGGAAATAGAAGCTAAGTCCGCGAAAATGCAATGCAAAGAGCTGTTTGGCCGCATCATAAACACCTGGATGGGTGGCTCCGAACGAATGCTCGATCTGTTCGATGCTGGGCAACACTTCGGGTGAATTGAAATAGACGCCGCAATATTTCAGCTTCACCAATTTCATGTTGAACACTTCAATGGTTTTCAGACGCTGAACAACTGGATCAAAGATCAAACGTAATCCATCCTGCGGCAGATTTATGATGATGTCCACGCCCAACGGATTCGTATCCGAGTACAGCACTTGTACACCTCTTATGATGCCCACCTGCGACTGTATGATGGCAATCGCTTGGGAGAAGTGCATTCCCAGCACAAACTCCCACGCATCGCAGCCAAGCGAGATCTCAGGCACAATTTCCAGGTCGAGCATATTCTGTGACAAAATTTGTTTTTGTTTTTTATTTATTTTGATTTTTGTTGTAATTTTACAATTTTTTTTTGCCACCTACTGACCTTGATATGTGAAATCAGCTGCGACCCACGAAAATATGCGCAATTTCGTTTTGTTTTTTGTTATTGTTTTTGTCTGTTATTTGTTCAAGTCCGTTGTTTCTTCTTATCCTCTGCCCCGTGTTTCGTGTTGTTTTTGGTGTCTGTGCTATTATTCTTGCTTTTTATTTTGCACGTCCAACTGTTTGATTGCGTAAACGTTTAAGTTAAGGGCGTTTTGCTATTTATTTTACAGCTTTGCGTATTTTCTAAAGTTTATTATCGTTTTCTAATTCACACTCCGAACAAAGGCAAAAAAAAGGCAAATGCGCAGCAGAAATACAAATGTAATGTAATAACAAAGTTGAAATATTGCCAGATTGTTCAAACAGCTGATTTTGCAAATTCATTGAATGGTTCTAAGCTTACATTCTAATTAAATTAAATGATATACATTTTAATACACTCAAAGAATTAGCCAGTTTTGCGCATTGTTATATATAAATAAGTAAGTAAATATTTTATTTGTAATTGATATGTTTGGTTGCCTGGAGGTGGCAACGCTCATTTAGAACGCAACAGCTGTGTTGAGCAGCAGCGCAGCGATTTTTGGCGCGCTTTTTCTGGAGTGTTTTGCACTTACGTTTCAATTGTATATGGAATCCTAAGAAGCTGCCAACGATTCCTCGTAATTTAATATAAAAAGGCTCTTCAGTTGTGCACTTTATTGTAATTAAATCGAGTAAGTTTATCGTAAATCACGATTTACAATTAAAGCCACACCACGCACCGCACTCACAATAACAAACTGTGTGACCAGGTTACGAGAGAGATTCATACCCTATTTTATACATTTTTCAAGCGCGCCAAACAGAAGCAAAAGAGAAGTTTTCTACCTTTACGCACTTTATGTATTTATAAATACTTTATGTCTAGTGTACAAAAATGACATCACAATAATTAAACAATCTGTGCACCGTGTTCTGGACAGCTAGCACCGCATTTAACACAACTAAAGTCGGCATCCGTTAATAAATTAGCGCTTAAGCAATAGTAACAGTAAATGTGTCCACAGCCCATGTGATGGGGCTGCGTAGGACGTTCTCCACAATATGTACAAGTGGTATTCGCAGTCATTTTGGCAGCAATCAGATCTCGCTTCAAACTCTCACGTCGTTTGGAATGTTGGGACTCCTCACCAAAGAAGCCAGCCTTTAATAGTCTTTGGATTTTACGAAAATTGATTATCGGCAGCAAGAGACCCAGAATTTCCTGTAAGTGAAGATATGTTATTTGCTATCTTTATCTTTCTATTGATATCGTACCATAAAGCCGCCCCAGAGCAATTCACGGGTCAGGTATTTGTAGCCAATATCGCGTCTTTGATTGTTACGCAAACTAATGTAATCCAGCCCCAGCAAAAAGTCAATTAACGTAGGTTTCCGTCCCGTCTTTAGAAATCGAAAATAGTTAAGCACATTCAAGACAAGGGCGCTATTCTCCGTCCACGTTATAGCTCTGCTAAACCATTCGACGCGGCGAGATAGACGCCTCTCCTCCCAGCTCTTCACGTATCCCGGCAGCACAGTTAACGCAAAATGCAAAGCCAATCGTGAAACTGTTAACTTTTCCGCATCGTAAGCTAAGACCAAAAGTTGTTGACCAAATGTCGAGCAACGTTTTCCCACTGAACCAAACCAGATAGCCGATTGTATAAGTAAATCCAACTCGGGTTGTATTCTGATAAAAAGCGCTGGCTGAAATTAGGTTAAGATTAGCCATTGAGGCACCATATAAGATAATATTGTAATACCCACCGATATTGCCTGTAAATTCTCGAGCAGATTGTCCCGTATCATGCGGGCTATGTCTTTATTGAGATAAATGGCATCTATCTATATGATAATATTAAGGATAATAATATGATTGACTGTTATTCAATTTATCCCTTTACCTGATTAACGCGCGGCACATATTTATTCTTGGCCAACATTTTTGTTTACATGCAGCGGATTCTCATCTGCCTGCTGTACTCTGCCCTTTTGTTATCATTCCTTGTATTCGTCAAATGGTAGGTGTGCACACATTGATAATTGTATGTTAAGTAACAGCTGTCTAACAGTGCTGCTCCACAGCTGCGCGCTACTACTCCACCTTTAACATGCATTTTGAAGTTTTTTCAACTTTATCAGTTTAAATATACTCATAAATCTCACTTGGCGACTCTTGGATATATTTTTTGGACACTTATGTCTTTATCAAACAATTTATTGGCAATTAATTATTTATTGCCCACCATTTAGGAAGCAATTCGCATATTATGTAATTTCAATCAAAACAAATATTTCAAACCCGTTCAAAAGCGGAAAAAATTTTTGACGCTTTTCTTGTAATCACTTTTTATTGCTAACCAGTTGGACTTGTCACTTGTTTTGGACATACAAAAAAACCCCATAAAAATGGCAAATGTTAATGGCTTTAAGTGCAAGTTCATTGGCCAAATATAAAAAGGAAACCAAATAAAAAGACTATTTTTCTTTTTTGATTTTATAAAAAGTACATAATTCACATTGTCTTTATTACACAATTTACAATTCGTTTGTTTTTATGTTTATTTGTTTGTTCTCTGTAAAAACTCTTTTTACATTATTTAATGAAATTATATATGGTATATAGATTGATAAATTCGTCTGAGTGAATGAACTAGAACTTAGAAACGGATGAATCGTAGCAGATAAAATAGTGACTAAGAGACAGAAAAAGAGTGAGTGAGCTAAGAGTGAGTAAAGAATGTAGGTAGCTAGAGGAAATTAGTTGCTATCACAGAAATAAAATACAATGTAAAAATGATATATGAGTATTATGTAGTATAATAATGCCTGCACTCGGACAAAGAGGAGTGCGCGGTGTTTATCAGAGTCCTAATTACGAGATATGAAGCTGATTACATTACATGGATCGTTCGATTGTATGTGTTTAAGGGTTTGTGTGTGTGTGTGTGTTTGATGAAGCGACTTTATCAAGAAATTTGGCTAACTCTAGAAACATATATAGTTTTATATGGTCTCATGTTTGTTTTTTGCTCTCTTGGGGTTAAAGGCATTCGTTACTTAATAGTGATGCTCGTGCAGATCATGGATCTCCTCATGGTGGTGCACTGGCGCTGTCTTGTGAACGACAGCATTGAAGCCATTGTGCTTGTCGGCGGTGTAGTCCACAGTGCGAATGGAACCATCGGGCTCCACCAGAGAGTATTGGCCCTTCACGGTGTCACCGTCGCGGGTCTCATGCTGCGACTTGACATCGCCAGTGTGGAAGTCGTTGACGCCATACTTGAAGGCATACTTGGGAGGGGCCTACGACGGAGAGGGAGAGCGAAAGATAAGGAGAACGTAAACTTACAATTATTCATTAGCCACTCGCCACCCGCCCACTCACATAGTAATCCACATGCTCATCCTCTGTGTGATGCTGTTCCACCTCGTAGTGTGGTATCTCATGTCCATGCTCCTCGCCCAGGGAGACGCGCTCAATCTGATGCTGTCCATAGTCGTGTATCGGCGCCGCCTCATGATGGGCCAGATGCTCATAGCCGCCGTGGCTCTCCTCATAATAATGATGTTGGTCCACCGGATAGGCCAAGCTCAAGCAGAGAGCTGACGCCAAAATCAGATACTGCAATTGCATAATTGGACAGCGGACTTAGCTAATTGTTTGTTAACATCGCTCGGTGGAGGAGGTCTCGCAATTAGCGCTAAGTTCAACAACTGTTTGCGAAAAACCCGCTCCCAACAACATCTCCTTTTTGTGCGTGTGTGTGTGTGTGTGTTTGTGCATTTTTAATGAAGTGCTTGCAGTGGTTGTGGCCGCTGTGGTTGTGGCTATTTAGTGGCTTTTGCCACTTGGCTACACTCGACTTGAATTGTAACATTTACTTTAATTGTGGTTAGCTGCAACTTTTGTGGTGTTACAATTGTTGTCGTTGTTTTTTTTTTATCTGATACGAAAAGCAATATTTTGAAACTGGAATTTTTTGCTGCTTTAACTTCATCGGAAGTCATAAAAAAGTTGATATCTGGAAAACTTATTCGAATTTATCAATCAGCTCTTGAACTTGAAATATTTTGTGCAGTTTCTTTTCTGGGCAATTTTTTTTTTTTTTGTTCTATCTATCGATAAAATGGTAGGCTGTATAATTTTAAATATAATTTATAATTTGAGCAACGTCTTTAATAGGTTTGACTATATTAATTTTGTTTTATATAGAAAATAGCAGATCTTACACAAATATAAAAATATATTAGAATTTTTGTTTTCAATTTGTCATTTCAACAAAATTTATATATATGTATATATTTTTGAAATCATTTAATATGTATTTTATATCCTTTAGAAAGCTTTTGATATAAATTTATATTTTGTTTTATAATTTGTGCATTTTAGAAATCATTGAATATGTTTATTATCTCTAAAAATCATCTATACTTTTTTCTCTCTTTTTCATTTCTATTAAATACATATATATATTTTTTTTTTGTTTAATATTTTATATAAATTTTGTATAAACTAATAACAAATCTATAATAAACTTTGTTAAAATTTCAAAATAAGTTTTGCTTAATAAATTTATTCTTTCTATGAAATCAACTCTTAAAAAGTCCTACATCGAATATATATTTAAACTCTCTTGAGACTTTAAAATATACTTAATAGTGCCAGCAATAAATTTGATTTCTGATTCAAAACATACAAAGTCTCAGACATTTTCTTGCCTCCTCAGTTTAAGTAACAAATATTAACACAGCACTTAATCGGACTCTTCTGATGTCATATCATGCCATATCATTATGATCACATATGATGCATAAGTCTTGTTTGTATTTTTATTTTATACACTTTCAGCACTTTTTGTGGTAACTGTTATCCTTGCAGGATGCACTGCAGTTCGTTGAATATCCTTTCATTATATAACTGTTATCCTTTTTGACTTGGTCTCACCTTAAAGGCCATTTTAATTGGTTTTGGTTTGAGTGTAACTTGATTTTGGTTTGATCGACGTTCCACGAGCTGCACGCAACGGGATTCAACAACTGAATAATATGGTTGCAACGAGCCGCCGTCGCTTTTATATAGTTAGGAAGAAAGTCAGACAACAAAAGCCAACGTCGCGACGTCGCTGTCGGCGTCGCTGTCGACGCGTCCACAGTGAACGGCGCTGCAAATGCTGATCTGTGAAATAATGTAAAACAGTTCAGTTAGTAACTGTAGTTAATGTGTGCAACTAACTATGTGTGTGTGTGTGTGTGTGTGGCTACTAAATCATTATTGTTAGTATCTCAACTATGTGTAGGTGCCTTGGTTAGTTTTGCCAAACAAATACGAGTAGCTTAACATACTTATTTTTGTGTTTTTTTTTGTGTACTTTGATAGCTATATATATGTATGTTGCTCTATCGCTACATAGTACAAGAAAAACTCCTCTGCAAAATCTTGTAAATTCCGAGAGCATTAAAACGCAGTTTGACCCAAATTTTGAGTTCAACTTTGCCATGATTTTGATTTCTGTGTTATTTTCTATACCCTGAAATGCAATGGAAATGGGGTGAAGAGGGTATGATGATTTTGTTGGGAATGGTATGTAACAATGTAACAACAATGTAACAAGTAGAAGTAGGCGTGATTTGATTAGATATATAGTATATAGACTTTTAGATAATCAATGCCTGAAGGCCTTTGTCGCTCTGGCTTAACAAATTGTTATTTAGAATTAATTCTTGATAGCAATAAATAAATAAATAATAAATAAATTTTAGATAATCAAGATTATGTTAAACTCTTAAGCTACTCTTTCCCATTAATATTAGAATAAATACGAAAAAAATCTTAGAGTAAGATAAACAACTCTTTCGAAGAAGTTTCAAATCCTCTATAAATCTTCATGTTCTAAGTCTGAAGAACATTGAAAGGCCAACAGAGGGCCTGCTGTAGATGCGATATACTATACTGTCTATCCCATTTAAATATAATATATATATATATTATCTCCCAGTCATATTTTACCACACTGAAGAGGTATTCCTTAGCCTATCACACCCGTCTGAGGCACTATTATTAGCTATGCATTGTGGAGGCTGCTAAGCTGCTGCTGGTCAACCTTTGTGCCAGCTATCGTTTACTTTTAATGCGCTAATCGTAAATTGTAAGCTGAGCATTATTTTGGCTCCCTTTTGGCCACAATAAACAATCGAGCGGACTATAAAACCCAGCTTTTGTAATATTTAAGTGTTTGCTGCTGCTGCTGCTGGAGGCCTTTATTGCAGATAGATTTTCATTAGCAGCACGTCGTTTAGATTGTACTTCAAACAGCATTGAGAAATTGACCAATTATTTTGCGTCAATTTTCAATTGAATGATCTTTCTGGAGGCAACTGCTCCACACAGTTGGTTAATTAGCCAACGGAGCGTATACTTCATGCAGCTATTCGACAATCAGCCTTAGAAGTAATTCACATATGTCTTCGATTTGTAAATGCTTTTCGTATTACACAAAAAGTCATTTTGTTTTCGTGTACAATTTAGTTCATTTGCAGTAAATGAAGGTCTGTAATAGGTCTTTTTTTTTTCGGGGGGCTTTGGCCTGATGTTAGACTTTAATGAGCGGTAATTCGAATAGCCTTGAATGCAGTTAGACATTTGTTTTCGTTGTTCATGTAGATTGAAATCGTGCCCAGGCAGGAAATCTATTATTTGTAAATTGAAAAAAGGTAAGAATTTGGGAAAGAGTTTTTAGATAAGATTTATAGTTGTTATGGTTACATAATATCTCCTCTTTTTGCTGGAGAGAGATAGCAGAAAATAACAGAAAAATGACTCAGTTTTAAATGATTGTCTACAAAATACCTCGAATGTGGGGGCAGATTGTCCTTTAAATTTTTTATATATACTATACAACAAGTATGCATTATAATATACCTTATAGGGTCTGTCATGCCTCCTTCTGCCTGTGGGTTTAGGGTAAGCAAAAATAATCTAGTAAACATTTTAGTTTATACTTAAATCAATATCTATTACTCGATAGGAGTTGCCTTCTCAAATCTCTGATCACCTTACGTTTCTTGAACTCCCCAACTCCTGGCCCAAACATCACTATCTGAACTTCCATTGAAGCTATATTTCGTTTATTTACTTTTGCCTTTTGCATTCGTTGTTCTATTTGAATTTGTTTACCAATTCGAGTGCAACCTTTGGCAATATTCACATCATCCACAGCTCATTCATAGCCTCAATTCTGAAGATTGTCTGGAGTTTGCCTCAGCGCAGGTTGATGTACTTTTAAATGCAGTTACATTTTTTTTTTTTTTAATTGCTATATTTAAAGACGACAACATTTGACAACGTGGCAAAGCATGACAAGCCAAACGAGTCAAACAAACAACAAAAATGAAAATATATACATTTTTGTATATATATTTTGTCTCTAACGATTACCAATCCGCCAAGTCCCGAAATCAAAAAGCATTTGCACGTACCACAACAAAAATATGGCAAATCAAATAAGTGCTTAATTATGGTCGACAAACTAAACTATACAGATATGAGTATGTGTGTGTGTGTGTGTATGTGTGTGCGTTGGTGTTGCTGCAGGTGAAAAATATAACGCAAGTCAACACGCCAACTTGTTGTTGTTGCAGTAGCAGTTGGAGTTGTAGCTGGAGCTGGAGCTGGAGCTGGAGTATACCGAAAAGCCAACGTCTCTTTTTCGAGATGTTTTGCAATTTGGCGAAGCGACGCAAATTGAACGCAATGTTGATACAATTTTCCAGTGCCCGGTTGCCGGTGCGAGCGACTCTTTATTTTCATTTCATGCCAAATGCAGTGCACTCCAATGAAAGCGAGCAACGACCAAATCTTATACATATACATGAGTCGAATGAATACTCTATATAGGATTTGATATGGAGAGAGTTAGAATGACAGTGCATGCTGAGGTTAATGGCAAAGATGACGGGCGGGCGAGAGAGGACTGGTAGAGAGAAAGAGTTGTAGGGAAGTATTATAGAGCAGAAGAATGAGAGAAAGACGTGGGAGAGAGAGAGAGTAAAGGAGATAGGAGAGTGAGATAGAAAGTGAGCGTGACTTAATTGAGATAGTGTAAACGAGAGTTGTAGACAGAGGGAGACAGAAATAAGAACTCCAGAGAGCGAAAAATGAGGAGCTACAAAGGCAGATAGAGAGTGAGAGTGGGAGAGAGAGAGAGAGAGGAAGAGAGAGTGAGAGAAGGTGAAGCTGATAGAGAGTAAAACAGGGCCATACAGAGAGGGAGGTGAAGCTGATAGAGTGTAAGAGAGAGGGAGAGAGAGAGAGAGAGAGTGAAGGTGAAGCTGTAAAAGAGTGAGAGAGAGAGAGTGAGTGAATTCTTAACAATTTACTGTATGATATATTGAAATCTATACAACACGCTTGGCATAGTGAAACATGCATAATATAATTTTTATATGTACATACATTAATTCTTACACATGCCTAGAATCACATACATATTTATCGATTTACATATTGTATAGGCATAATTTTCCCAACTTCTGTTTCAAATGATGTCCTAAGAGCATTCTCCACTCTTGCAATGCGATTTCTGTTGACACCTGCTGCAAGCCTTAACTGATATACCCTATGGGCACTTTGTTTTTTTTTTTGGCAAGCAAACACAACAATAACAATACAACAATTTTCGCTTGATTTCGATGTGTTGTTGTGCGATTTGGCTGTCTATGAAAAAGTTGTCGTCATCGTTGCAAACGCTGCTCAAATATTTTCAATTTTGTTTGCTCATTGAAGCGTCGATTGTTGTTGCTGCTGCTCCTGCTGCCAGCAGGTGTTAATTTTTAGTTTGATTTTTAGTCTAAGCCAAAGAAATAGTTTAGTTATAGTTTTTCAGTTTTGCTACAGCCACTCAATCAAATTCCACTCTCGAAAAGTGAAAAGTCACTAGCGCAGCTGCTGTTGCTGTTGTTGCTGCTGTTGCTGGTAGCAGTGCCCGGCAATTACCTAGTAACTCATATTTACTGTTGGACATTTAGTACATGCATTAAGTGCGGCTGCTGTGCATGTGCAACATGGTGAGTCGCTGTTGCTAGTTGCCCGATTGTCTGGCATTTGGCTGCCTTAGTAACAGCAGCAGCAACAGGCAACAGCAGCAGCAACAACTTTTGTCTCATTGTTTCATATTTATTTGGACTCTGGCCTCCTAACGAGCCTCGGTGCAAGAGACGCGTGCATCTTTCCAAAGTAGTCGTGGGAATCGTTGTTGTTGCTGTTGTTGTAAAGCTTATCCTTTTATGCAGCAAGCTTGCGCAACAGCAACAGGCATTGTTGTTGCTGCCGCTGCGGCCGTTGCACGTAATTGAAAATTACATTTTGGTTGCTTTAGCGAAAGCCTTCGAGCTATGGCATAATTTTATTGACTGCAATTCATATTCATTTATTTGAAGGCAAAAAGCACATGAGCAACTGTTGCTGTTGTTGCTGTTGCTGCTGTGATTTTTTTTCCACGCATTGCTAATGAGTCTGCGTTGCTTTGAAGCTCCACTAGCGACTGCGAGATGCGGCGCATTGAACTTAACGTGCTGAAAATCAATTAACAGCATTAGCAACAAAAGTTGCCAGCGAAAAAAGTGCGTAGCAACATTTCTAGCAACATGTTGACAACGTCTTGAATGTTGCAAGGCAGCATTAAACGAGGCTGAGTGCGAGTGAGAGCGAGATAGAGTGCGAGGTGTTGCTGCAAGTGTGATAATATTTGAGTTGTCCATTTATTATGTCAAAATAACTAAAAGCTTACAGAAAAATGATTTATTGTACATTTCAATTAGGCAGTTAATTGATTTCAATTTCGATTTCAATTAGTTTTTTAATTAATTATGTAATTTTAATTGGCGTATCAACAGTTTACTTTCCTTAACGTGGTTTTGCTTATGCTGTAAGTCAGCTGAAGAATTAATTGCGATAATGTGATTAAAATTCCATAAAGGAGCCAAATGGGTTATGAAAATATGAGGAAGTGAGAAGAATGTGGTAAAAGGCTGAGAGGGGGTTAAAGGGGTTATGTATGTAAGGATACTTAAGATATCTTCTAGATAATAATAGATAGATAGACTAGACTAGTTTGATTTATAATTTGAAATGATGCCATGACTGATGGGTGACTGATTGCTAGACTTATTGATTGATCGATAGATTGATTGACTCATAGGTGGAATGATTGACTCAATAATTAGATGACTGCATGATTAAGTGACTGATTAGTGATTGAGTGGATGATTGCTGAGTTCCTTGCCTGCTTTATTTACTGGTTGAATGACTGGCACAGCCTTTGATTGACTGACTCATTGAATGACGCTCTGATTGCTTGAGTGAATGATTGATGGAGTAAACTAAGTCATTTTTCGGCGACTTGAATGAATGACTGAATGATTAATTGACTGGCTGTTAGCCTGATTTCCTGTTTGCTTATCTTTTACTTATCTCTAGCTAATTTCCTCTAAGCTCTCTTTGGCTCTACAGCATTTTCTCACAGTCTCGCATCCTCTGTCATTCAGTCCACTTGCAACAATTTAGTGTCCCAGCACAATGGCCGCATAATCTATCAAAACAATTGGGTAAATGTCGCGACGTTAGCCAAACAAAGCCTAATGTTGGCTTTAATTCGATGCGGTAGTCGCAATTGCAATTGCAATACGAATTCAGTTGCTGCTGTTGCTGCTGCACTCGCTGAGGCTGTCATCGCTGCTGTCGTGTCCAAGACGTTGACATAATAAATAGCTGCAGAAATTAATTAAATGCAAATTGCCAAATCACATAATCATATCATATGGCAGCTATAAGTCTGCCAGAGTCTCAGCTGTGTGTGTGTGTGTGTGTGTGTGTTCGTGTGACTGTTGCAATACACGGAAAGGAAAATCGGAGCCTGTGAATGCATCGAGAGACAATTTTCCAATTGAATTGAAATCAGTGAGTCGCCGTAGCTGTGGGCTCTGCTCTAATTATGTGAGCGTTAATCAAAATATTTACGGCTGCTGAAAATCTTGAAAGCATTTTAATACGCATGTGAATTGCAAATGCTACACACACACACACACACACACGTACACACACACACGCAGTCACTTGCACTTGAGGAAGAAACACTGGCGACAATTCAACTCGTTTCTCATTTCCCTGGCGACTTCCTTGGCAACATTTTGGCTCCTGCTGTGGGGCTCATTAATTGGCGGCTTTAAAGTATGGCCGGCTGGCCGATGATTTCCTACAACGAAAAGCGCTTTACGAGAGTGCCGAGAGCGATGCCGCAGTTCAAAGTAGGTTAAATGCTTTTACCTTATTTTGCCAAACTGGCTGCCTGACGGCTAATTGCCGTCATTTTTGGCAGCAGCAGCTGTGAATGCACGCTTGTTATTTTCTTTTATATTTCACTTATTTTTCTTCAACTACTATTTTTTTTGTTGCTTTTGTCTGTTTTTCCTGCTGGCTGGCAACCCCCAACGTTTGACAATTAACAACTTTTCAAGCGCGCTCCAAACCGGATATTATGAAATTGACCAGTTGATTTTTAGCTGTTTTTTTTTTTTTTTGGTCATATCAAGATTATAAAATTGGTAAATTTATGCAACCGGCGCAAACTCGATTCGCCACGGCTCGTCTAATCAAGTTGTCAGGCGTCGTCGACACATTTCTGGCAAATAAATTTTTGGCCAAAGCGAACGATTTCTAATGGTCGCGTGCAGGGACGAAACCCGTTCAATGTTAAGTTGAAGTGCAGCAGCAACAGTTGCAGCCGCAGCAGCAGCAGCAGCAGCAACAGTTGCAGCAGCGGTCACAGTCTTTATGCTGCCCACAGTGCGTATACGTAACGCGCTTACGTTACGTAGCCTTTGCAACGCTTCAGATCAGAAAGAAAGAAAACTTTCACAGTCTCTTCGCTGGGCGCATTTTGCAATTGCCTGATTTAATAATGAAAGCAAATGGTAGAAAAAATATATATGTATACATATATATATATATATGAAGTGATTACCTCAGCGGTCTGCCAGCAAATTAGTTAATGACCAAATATGTATGCCAAATAATGCAGCAGCGCAACGAATGTGGCTGCAATTTAATTAACATACAATAAAACACTCGAGTGCATATGAAAGTAAGCAACAGTGCAACCACCAACCGGCAGGCAGCACCACATGCCACGTGCCCTTTCATGCCACTCCCGGTGCCACGCTCCCTCAAATCGAATCGAAAAATGTGTGGGCGAACGAATTGAGAGAGAACGCGCAGCAGAGTTATGACTGTGGCTGGCTGAATATGAAAGACGTAATTAATATAAATATAAATATAAATAAAAAGAGCCTAGAAAGTAATTTTATTATTAAATAATATTTTACAATTAAAAATTAAATAAAATAAATAAATGCACATAAAATAAGAAGTCAATAAAGAGATATAAAGAAATAAAAAATAATGAAAATATGTGATAGCAGTAATTAATAAAATGATAAATTATAAAATATAGAAACCTAACCAAAAATGTGAATCAAAAATTTAACTAAAAAAAATTATTACAAAATTTTTAAATTATAAATTATATATACATTAAATTTAAAAAAATATTTCCCACACAAATTTAAAAATGTGTACATATATGTATATATTTAAACAAGAAAGAAAGCTCTAGTCGAGACTGCTCGACTACGAGATCCCCTGAACCCT